TGCTGTTTCACGTATTCTGCAAATACCATCAAGGTGATTCCTTTGTGCTGTTGTTGACCCCTCTCTTGTCGTTTCCTTATCGATCACGGGATTGCTCACTTTTTCAATCCGTCGATCGGCCTGATCTTGTAACTCACAATCTTCCTTTTTTATCTCGTCAGGTTGACAGCTGGACTGATTATGGGTCGGATCAGTTCCTTCATACACATTACCCCTAATTTTATTCGAGTCGTATTGCATCGGCATTGGTCGATCTCGAACCCGACCGTCCTTTTTCCTGGCTACGATCGCATCGATCACCATTAGGGATCTCATGGTATTGTGGTTGAGTCACTAATCAAATGATGGAACGTGGATCGGTGTCCACCCAGTTAAGACGTCACCCACTGGCGGAAACTGATGCCAAGGGACCTGACGATCCTAAAGGAGATAGAAGGTGTTCCCAACGGAAAAAAACGATCCGCTCCAACTGCCGTCAGGCTGAAGGCGATGCAAAGTCATTTGAGACGGGGCGTAGAAAGGGGCGATTTCCACGGTGCGATCTGGGACGAGGGACTGGATTGAACCTAACGACCGCTCTAAAGGATGAATAAAGGCAAGGATACAGATGTTGAAGCGAACAATTCTGAGAAAGGTAGTGGAGTACGCACAATGAACGGAAGAACAGATATGGCCGGATTGTACTGTGTCAATCCTCAACAATCTCGAATTGGATACCATATCGGTCACGTTCCCTGCTGAGTATAGATATATTGATGGTGGAGCTATTGGGTCATGATAAACATGCTTGTTAAAGGTCCGTGAGTGATGGCCAAAAGTTCAGATCGAAAGAGCCAGTGGAAGCCGGTTGAATTGACGTCGCAAAGTGGATTTAGACACATTCGGTATTTGGATACTATTTTAGACTTTTCGGTACCAAAATTGGGTATTTGGTACCGTATTTGGAATTTGTTCCCTTTTTGGTGTCTAGGTACGATATCGGGAGTATTGACGCTATCTTTGGAGTAATTGTCACGAAATTCCGTTACGTGTTCAAGGGGGCTGTCAAGCTTAAAGGTGATATCGATTTGGAGAGTGACCTACGGTTAGGAATAGGCCTAAAGATAGGCTGGCTAGTAATGTGGTTGGTAAATAAACAGACTTGAACTCTACTTCTTCTGCTCACGACGTGCGTTACCCCCTTCTCTTCCGGGCAAGATTTCTTCGGCTTCCCCACCGGTTTGAGGCACGCGTGCTACAAGGACATTGAAGACCGATGTTGAATTGTTAGCCAAGATCGAGAAGAGTGATCTCGGGAAAGTTTGGCCCGGATCGACCAAGTACTCACCCTCAACTCAACTGCTAGGGTAGCAGCAACATGGTAAAGGCTTTTGGTTACAAGATCGCTAGACGGCTCAAGTGGTTAAAAGATCTGAACAAGGCGTTCAAGACAAGACCGAGCAAGATTGACGCGATCCATACGGCAGATCGGCACGCTTCATTTTGGCGAAACTCAGGACTTATCTGCCCACACTGCGCACTTCCAGCAAGATCGGCCGATCCCAAGACCAGATCGGAATAATCCCAACGCAAGATCGGCGCAGAATTATAATTTGCTGAATGAAGATTCCCACGCAGTGAAGACCCCAATCCCGAACACAAATCGATATCGGTGTGATCCAAGATCAAGACCGCAACATCTCCAATAGAGATCGCTGCTACTCAAGATCAGGATCGCAGAACCCCTGTTCGTGGTGTGAGGATTTCCGCACCGGAAGCGAACTCTCAACCCAACATCTCAGCGAGATCGACATCTCCCAAGGCCATTACGAAGAGCTCAAGCCAGCCCAACCGACGAGTACACAAGGTGAGCACGAGGCTATACAATAAGGCGCGGATCGGAGTACCCCCTCCTTGAGTCGGCAAGTCTGGGAAAGTGAAAGATTGAGCCTCACACAAACAATTTTGTGAGATGGACTTCACCACAGTGGTCCGTGTGCCCGGATCTTCTGAGGCTCTGGAATTTATTGTGAGTCCACTGGCGAAGGTATCAAGATCAAGCAAGAACCTGGGATTGAAGTGTCAGCGATTGTGGGATTCTCGCAAACACTCAAAAGTGCGAGAACCCCATATCATCAGGGCTTCGGGAGGGACTCTGAAGAACTGAAAATGAAAGAGGTCGATCGAGAGATCGATCTGGAAGATAAACCTCGACCCCCTCCAAGGATCATTTCGGGGGCCACAGCAGATCGATCTGCAAAGATCGCTCTACCGGACAAAAATTAATGGTGAAAACCAAACCGGCCAAAGCCGAGCCCTATCTTCTTGTCGACAGGCCCCTGACCTCAAGACGAGGAAGACGATCTCGAGGTCGACCACACCGAGTCGAGCTAAGATGAAAACGCTGAGATCGGAAGGCGAGGATCGCCAGATCGACCAGACCGTAGAATCGAAGATCAGAGTCAGAGAGGAACACGATAAATAACTGGACGAGATCGCAATGCCAAAGACCGAATATGACCCAGTGAAGATCTCGCCCATGGAGAATGTAACGGCGAATAAGTGGTGAGAGCGCGCGAAATGGCAGTGGTATAACAGCCATTTGAAGATACTGCTCAAGACAGACCCAGTGTTCAAGATATTACGGCCCAAGTTGATCGGTCCTCTGGATAGGCCGACCTCAGTCACGCCGCCCGGGACAAGCAAACTCGACACGATTAATTTAAGTTTGCGGATGTTAGAAGACATGGGTTTCTGCCCTACTGCTTTCGATGTAGATGACTTGCTGGGTAGCAGCTTGAAACAGTTGGAGAGTGCAATGAGTGAGTTCGTGGAGATCATGACACTTATGGTGGACAAGACCACTATTCGTAAAGACAAGATTGATACAAAATTCGGACTCACTCCGGGAGCACATTGCAGGATCGCCCCACTATGCCTCAGCTGACTCCGAGATCGAGTCAGATGGGTCCATCAGCATTCGTCGGATGTCTCTAGGACCATCGGGAGGATCGTTTCTACAGGAAAGGATCGGCAAGGCCAAGATTGACGCCTTTAAAGGGCAAGCCAAGATCGACACACAACTAAGGTCGGCCGGTGCACCTACTGGACTGGAAGATTCCGCGGTGGACGACCAGAGTCGTTTCTTCAATATAGCAATGAAGAATTACGAGGCAGATCAACGAGCACCCAAAGAATGAACCGACAGCCGAGCCGTTACTCATATCGCCGTACTATTTTCCAACATTCGCAAGAAAACTATGACATGCCGGATAAGGATATGGAATCGGTGAAGTCCAACACTTACAAACAGATCCATCAGAGGGCGGAATACGATCCGGATGATCTGTGGATGGCTGAACCGAGACGAACTCAAGTTGCCGCGACCAGTGTGACTACTGAAACCAGTATCTTTACTCAGAAGATCATAGTGTCACTGATCTCGGAGCTCGAGGAGTCCTCGGAAAGGATCGGGAAGACGATCGGGTGCGAATTTGGATGGGCAAAGTGAAATCAGCGTTCCTCCGAGACCAAGCGCCGGACGAATAAAATTTTTTAGTCTTTGGCAATTTAGTGGTGGGCCCAGTCTGCTACTGGTATCGCCAGCTGAGCAGATCGACGAGATTCAAGTGGAAGGATCTGATGAACAGCTTTCTTGTGGAATATGCGGGGCATGGGATGTCAGCGAGCCGGCAATATTACCACGCAAAGAAGCGATCGGAGGAGGACCCCTTGGAATACTTGTATCGGCTCAATGTGATGGGAACGCAGGCTAATATATCGGTGATGACGGGATTGCCAGATGCACGCAAGGAAAATGTTAATTATTTATGTTAATTATTTAATTGACACCTTGGATGACCCCAATCTGTCCAATCAACTACCATTGCTGAATGTGGAAGACACGGAGGTCGTGCACACGATCATGCATGGATACCAGCGAGGGAGATCGCGCCAGCGGAAAGTGATGATGGAATCGTCCAAATTCAGACAGAAGGGAGAGCCTGCTTCAGTGCCGTCTAAGCCCGCACGGGCGGTAAGGATGATCCGCACCGAGGACGTCAGCAGCGAGTCAGGATTGGACACCTATGGATCGGAATCAGAAGATCGTTTGAGATCGATTCATGTGGCCTCTACTACAGATCGGCTCAAACCGACCCGCGATACTTCAGCGAACACGGGATCGGAAGACCCGACTACTCGTCAAGACTACCAAGGTCGCAGTGTGTCACAAAAACCGCTTACTCGTTGAGGATTGACCAAGCATAGAGATCTCGGTTGCTGGAAGCGGCTCACTTTCCAGAAGTGTGGGTGCAAAGGACATCCATCCGAAAATAGTTTTTTCATGTGTCGCGCCTGCGGTGAGATGCATGACCCAGGAAAGTGTCCGATGGAGGAGTTCTACAACAGAATCTGCCAGTGGTATGTCCCAAACAAGCATGCGGGTATGTTACCGGAGAAGGACGAGAAGATGTTAAACTAGAACGCTCGCCAGGTTGGAATCTGGTACGAGCCGAGCGTTATAGGCTCTGCATCATTGCATACGTGAAGAAAAAGGAAACCTATTGCGAGAGTGAGAGGATAAAGATATGGAAACTAATACATCTCGGTCGAAGCCAAAACGTGTCAATTCTGTCTCCCATCTCAAGAGGATCGACGAGTACTTACGATCTGGACCAACTATGGAGATTGAGCTCGCTTATGGTAAATCGCGCGGATACTGGATGCATTACTCGCCCAGGAAGTGGTTAAAGCAGGCGAAGGCTGTTGGCAAGATAAACAACAAAAAAGCTACTCTGTTATTTGGTTCTGGTGCTCAAGTGTCGATTATTGACGCCACCTTTGCTCGTAAGGTCGGTTGCATTATTGACGAAATTCAACGACAAGAATGTATCGGGATCAGAGATACTCCGTACATGACGATAGGACGTACCAAGATCGATTTAACCCCTACGGGATCGCTGGTAAATTATTTCAATGTATGGGTAGGCGATCAAGCGGGACGAGACGCGATTTTGGGAATGGACTTTATGGTACCTGCCGGAGTGCGGCTCGATCTAGCCGACGGCGCGCTATGTCTACCGGAAGAAGTCCGTATTCACCTTGCAGGACGTCGCCCCGCGTACGAATCGAAGGTACAGTATGTGACGGCGAATGATCAACACATAATGATCACATTCGGGGAGTCAAGAGAAGTGAAGTTAGGGATCGGCGGGGCCAAGATGAAGTTGTGGATCGTCAGAGGACCCGACTGGTTACCTACGATGATCTCAGGGTTCGGTAGGAGGAAGTATCGGCAGGTGAACAATATTGGCGATCGCGAGATTATAGTGCCTACGCATGCTTTACTGGGCGTGTGGACGGAAGACGACATGATACCATGACTCAAGGCTTCGTGTCAGTCGGATCGGGGATATACAAAGAGTGGTAAACTCCGGCGTGTGAAGCTACGACAGATACGAGTGAATAGACTTCCGAAAGAACATATCGGACCATTGGTAGATCGCCCTACGTATGCCACCCCCAAAGGCATCATGATACGACCGCCTGTTGCGCTAAATGACATACCTCCAGCGGTCCCCATGGTAATGCGGCAAGCTGGCGACGAGGAATTGCAAAGGGCAGATACCGTTGTTACGGGAAAAGATACGTTTAACGAAGTCGGCTCGACTCCACTCGATAAAAAAAAATCTATCGTCGATGGATAACGATCGTGGGATCAAAACCGAGATCGCAATAAGAAAAATTCACGGGATCGAACAAGGAGGACAAAGCAATAGAGTGTCTTCATTGGACTTCGATCTTGCAGACAATAGATCAGAATTCAATCAGTCTGAGGAAACACAAGGTTTTGGGGAAGAGATGTCGTCCAAGATTGACGACAACTGAGATAGTGGAAGCACCAGTCTACTATCACGAGAGTGGAGATTTGTTCACTGAAGATATCGCACAGCAAATGGCGGTGCTGCCCGAGATGTCGGCATCTAGAAAAGAAGTTACAATTGATGACATTTCGGTAGGCGACCACAATGTCCCTCTCACCACAGATCAACAAAAACTCAGATCGTTGATTTGGAAGAGCCGTCACCTCCTCATGGAAAAAGGTAATGCTCTACCGCCAGCAGCACGAGGGCGATCTGTGATATCGATGTCGGTGGGGCTGAACCGATAGCACAAAGAGTCCGCCCGGTCGCGCCCAAATATAGGGAGAAGTTATCAAAGCTCATCAAAGGGTTACTAGTGGCCAAGATGCCCCAGTCATCCACGTCGCCTTGGGCGTCTCCGATTGTGGTGATCACCAAGAAGAATGGAGTAGATATTCGCCTTTGTATTGATTATCGAAGGGCGAACCATCTGACGCGGCTGATGGTTTACCCCATGCCGCTGATCAGCGATCTGCTGGAAGGTTTGGATAAGGATCTATGGTACTGCTCGTTAGATATGGCCAGTGGATGTTGGGTTGTAGAAATGACTGAGCGCGCGAAACTGATCTCAGCATTTGTCACGCCGTTTGGCCTTTTCGAGTGGCTACGGATGCCCTTTGGACTCAAGAATGCGCCCCAGTTCTATCAACGTCTTGTTGATAACGCGCTGTATGGATATCTCAAGATCGGCCGGATTTCAGATTCGGACAGCCAGACCGATGTATTAAAAGGTGGAAAACCTGAGACAGGATCGACGACCGTCCATACTGGGACGGCGACCTTACATTAACGATATCCTCATACCCGCCACGTCATGGGATTATTTGTACGCAAAAGTGGAATGACTGTTGGAAGCATGCGATAAGTGGAATCTGTCCATCAGTCTTACGAAGAGTTTTGGGGGGTTTCGCAATGTCGGTTATTTGGGCCATCGAGTGTCGATGGAAGGTCTGGAGGCTCTGCAGAAAAACTTGGAAACGTTGGTCAACATCCCGTTTTCTAGCACGCTGCGAGCTTTGCAATCTTTTCTGGGGAGCCTGAATTATTACCGCCGTTTTATTAAGGCTTTTATAGCATACGCCGCTGTGTTATACGAGCTGAGGGAATCAGATTTATTTGAGATCGGTCGAGCTCAACGTGCATCGGGAGACGAATGGTCGGATGAAGACCGATGGAAGAAAGATAAGGTTTCGTTCACGATGCTGAAGGCTAAGATCGCTACAGATCCCATGCTTAACCTTTCAACCGGATCGCCCTCCCGTAATCGTGGTCTACGCTAGTAAGTGGGCGGTCTCAGCGTCCCTAATACAGGAGTATGATGGCATGTATCATTCGGTGACGTTTATTAGCCGCACGTTAAAGCCTAACGAGCTTAACTACGGAACGGTGGAGAAGGAGGTGCTGGCTTTACTTCGTGTTTTGGATGTGTGCTGTACCACACTAGCCTCAAGATAAATCACTGTGTTGACTCGGCACTCCAAGTTAGCGTGGTTGATGCAATCTCGAGGGCTCAACAGGAGAGTAGGACGGTGGGCTGCTTTGCTGTCGAACTGGACTATGGAGGTGAAGAAATGCGAAAGAGGAGAGGAAGAGATCTTGGGTATGCTAGCGGCGAGTATTACCCCGAGAGAAGAGATGGATGAGATGCTGATCGCAATCTCCCCGCGCAAGGACTGCCGACTCAAGATATCAACGTCACCACCAACGGTGGAAGTAGATGAGAAGTTGCTGGTAGCCAGTTTCGATGGATCGGCGAGGATAAAGAAGAAAGGAGGTTCGTTCAGTGCCGTGATATGGAGGCTTCCTGAGTGGAAAATAGTGGCAGGGGAATACAGATATGCTCTCGACCTGACCGTGAACGAAGCTGAGTATAATAGCTTTCTTTTAGGCTTCGAGTTACTCGCCGATCTGGACAGGGGGCGAGTAATTTTTTGTGGAGACTCCAATTTGGTGATCCGACAGATGCGCGGTTAGATCGACTGCAAGGCACCGGGCCTTAAACTTATCAGGCGTAAAGCGTTGGAGAAATTAAGATCGCGGATGAGTCACAAATTCTTGCATAGGAAGCGAGAATGAAACCAAAGTGCAGATCGACTGGCCAGCACAGCATTACAGAATGAAAAAGGAAGAACTATTGTAGCCGAAGAAGATCAGCGACATCTGATTGCTTTGAATCGCCTGGATAAATTGTTGAAACCCAAGCAGACGGGTCAGCTTGCTCGAATAATGGCAATATCAATATCGGCCGGGAGGAGACGTCATCAGCCCGAAGTGTTACAGGAAGAGATGGTGCAGAGGATTAGGGTTCGACGAATTGGCCAAGCTCAAGATGAGGAGCGTCGGATTGTCATTCTTAAGAAGTTTCTGAATGGCGATGTATCTAGCCTGGATGCAGGAAAAGGAAAGATGTGCGCGAAACTGGCGCCGGAGTACGAGATCGATGAGAACGATCTGATTTTCTTCTGCCCCACGACGAAGAGAGAACCAGAAGATCGCGGAGGTTTGATGCGTCTGGTGATCCCAGAGACGTTGCAACAGGATGTTTTGCACCACAATCACGCTAGTCTGGAAGGAGGCCATCAGGGTATTGGCAGGACGTACCAGAGGATCAGATCGCGATTCCCCTGATGAGGGCTGTATCAGAGTGTGCAACGATAAGTGGGCGAATGTGCCGACTGTGAGACTGGAAAAGGATGTCCCACGGTTATTGGAGATCGCCTGGCAGTTTACAAGCGACCTATCCATTTCAGATTATCGCAATGGATCATATACCGACGTTGCCCAAGTCGCTATAAGGGAATACAGAGCTACTCATTTGGGTCGATCTCTTCTCAGAGTACGTGATCGCAAAAGCTAGCTCGTCACGGAGCGCACAAACGATCGCAAAAAATTACGAAGAATGTGTGTTCCAACGCTTCGGAGCTAGCGAAGCTATCAGGTATGATCGGGAGCAGGAATTCATGTCCGACTTCTTCCGAGCTTTCAGCCAGATCGTGGGACAAAAACAACGTGCCACCATAGCCAACCGACCACAAGCAAATGGAACGGCCGAACGAATGGTGCAAACCTTGACGCGGTCGCTCAAAATGTACGTTGCCTATGTCGACCAAGGAGACTGGGGTGAGTATGCTGAACGGCTCACCTTTGCGATCAACACCGCACAAGATCGTATCAGAGGGGATATCCCATTCTATTTGATTCATGGGTGGGATCCGCGATCGACGTTGGAAGCTACGCTATAAGCGGGGGACACAAGAGCAAGAGATAGCGATCCTAAAAGGTGGAGATACAGCATCCAAAGACAATATCAGCAAGCCCGATCTGCAGTGAACTATCATTTACAATCTGCAATCCGGGAGAGATCGGATCAACACAATGAAGACCTAGAGCCACATGAAATAGAATTGAGTACACAAGTTTGGCTATACCTGGAAAGAGTCAAAGAAGGATAAGCAAAGAAGCTAGCGCATATGTGGCATGTCCATTCCGAGTTGCCTATGTATGTGGAGATCATGCTGTGAAATTGGAGATTGCTGGGACCCTACATCGGCTATTTCCGATTGTACATCTATCGAAGCTGAAGAAGGTAGAGACGTTCCCTGAACGGCCGAAGGATCACCTTACGACAGATGAAGCAGATCGCTTGGACTTTGATGAAGCTCTGTTACACGAGGATAGTTGAGAAAGGGATCTTGAGGAGGGAGAACATGGAGTAAAAAAATATTGGGCGTGCGATCTGATCGGAAAACCCGTTATGGGCAAGTGCATCGACAGTTTCTGGTGAGATGGAAGGGACGTTCTGATCTGAGTTGGGTGGATGAGGTCGATCTGAGTTTGGAGCTATCTTGCAAGCGTTTGAGCGGAGCCGAGTGAGTCGGAATCATTTCGAAGTAATGCAGTCTCACGAAGGCAAGTCGGACGAACCTTAACGGTCGGGGCAGATATGCTAGGAGGCAGCATTTGCGGATGAATGGATTTCAAGGTGTGTTAGGAGGTAGTACATGCTGATGGGATGGGGTGGCAAGGTGTGCTAGGAGGTGGTACATGCGGGTGGATGGAGCTATGTGTGTGAGTATGGAGACAGACCAGTGAATTACCTTACTGAATGAATGGACTTGAGTGCTTGGACCGAAGTTGTGGAGGTATAAAGGAATGAATTACCAAAGAAACGGTTGAAAACCATACAACACGGAGAAAGATGATCGAGCTATAACACCGATCTGGAGCTAAGACGATGGAGCAGGCTTGAACTTATTCTGAAGATGAGGAATTTGCGATACTGGATGGTCCCAATAAGCGTTGCGGAATTGGTTGCGCCAAGGATCCTCACGTTCGGCTATTTTTTAAAGTCTCTAGCAGGTCGGGTGGGTCGGCAGTCTGCCCCAATCCGGGATACCAAAATCGCTCTTCCTGCATGCGCGGGTAATGCAAAAAGAAGGGATTGAGCAAGATATCCAGATCGCAGTGGCCGTCGATCATGCCGCGGAGTATCATTTTCAGGAAATTCTTCCAACGTGCTCTGAAACGAGATTGACGCTGTTTTTGCTGACGCTAAAAAGTTAGCAGGAATCGATCAGATCGTCACTGAGCCGGAGAGATCGGAAAAGCGTGCGTGGACTCTCACAGCGCTCGGCGATGACTGGACTCCAACTCCAGGTAACGAGTGCCTGTTTCCCGATACCATCCGGTCAGGGAAAACGAGATCGGGTTCACGGGGATCACGATGTTATCCCAGGGAGATCGGGCGTATAGAGCCTCAATGTGTCGCCACGAGATTAGCCCATACGCTCAAGTCCCCGTAGGTAGAGTTCGTCCGTGAGAGTGGGAGGGGAATAAGAAATGCCTGGGCTTGGAGTAGTGGTGGAACAACAACTCAATCGACATCTTCCCCACGCAAACCATCGCGATCCGCGAGACTGACCAAGTAGCAATCTCAGAAGCTACCCGATGGGAAGGTGCCGAATAAATGGGGATCCACCGATCCCGTGGTTGCTGAAGTGGTGGGAGATTGTTGAGGTCGACAGTCGCGAAAATTCTGTTAGCCACCTGGCGCACCGGAATGGCGATGATGTTGTTGTCTCTATCGGACAAACGGCTGGCCGGGAGTGTAGTAAATTCATGGGGCGAACTAACAGAGCCGATCTTGCTGGGTGCTTCCGGAAACGACATATCCACATCTCCAGAGTCATCATCATCCGAAATGTCTTTTACAGGAGCAGTCGCAACCGAAGTAGTCTAATAAGTAATATAACGAGGCTCCGGCTCGTTCGGTGAATGCGGACGCGACAGTTCTTGGCCGAGCACAGTTGTCACGGACAGAGTGGGATTTGTTGGAGTAGCCACTGAGGTGTCTGGAGTTGCAGATCGGTCGTCTGATCTCGGTTGACGAAGAGCGGCCGACCTGGATTGGACATTACAGACCGAGTCAGATCGTCCAAGCTATAGTCAGACTCGGTCAGTTCTACACTTCCCGATCCAGTCCCAGATGCCGCGGACATAGATGGAGAAGAAGGAGAATTGGAGGAAGGCGCTGGTGCGGCCGATCGGGGAAGTTTCTTGAAGGGTGTTGAGAGGTTCAACGATAATAATTGGGTGTTCGCTCGGGTTACGGAAGAAACCCTGAACCGTGATCTTGGTTGAACACGCTGACGCTTGGCTGGCGGAGCAGACGATCTCGGTCGGGTCTTAAGGATGTGTTATCCCGCCCCACGGACGGTAGAAGCAGAGGTCGATCCCACCGGAGTAGCATCTCTGGGGGTCGGATTGGAGATCACTGCAGACGACTGGGACCCGAGTATGGCACTTTTCAGTGTGTCAAGAAGCGCACGATGTTCTGCCACGGCCCAATCCCGATCTTGCTCCACCACTGCCTAGCGGTCGTATACCGCAAGATGTTCTGCAAGCTGACGACGGAGGTTACCATTTCCGACCTGCGACTGTGTCAGCTGACCTTCCAAAGGACACAATTAATTTACTTGCTGTATGAGATCGCCGATTGCAGTTGAACCCTCTTCGATCTCCGCTCGAGACCTACCCAGCTCCATCTTCAAATTAGAAACATTCGCACTGAGGAGGGACCTGTCGGAGGCCAACTGGTCACGCTGCTGTCGGAGTAAAATACGATCCGCTTGGAGTGAGCGGACCTGCACCTCTAGAGTGCCCATCTGCTGTTCCAAGCGGGTCAGGTCTTGATCACTGGCACGTAACAACTCGTTCAACCGAAGAACCTCCGCCGACTGATCCCGAAGGGTCTGCAGAGCCAGCCGGCAGTCTTTCAAGGAATAAACGGCGTCAACATGTCGAACTTGCATCAAGTCGTACCGACGATGAACGAAAGAGACAAAGGGGGCGGCCGATCTATACATATAGTCGATCTCTTCCTGCAAGCGATCTCCTCGCGCGACATCCTCTTGGTGTGACTGCTAAAGCGCGTGGATGGTATCCGCTTGGCTGCGGAAAGTGGCCTCTCGATTCCCATAAATACGTGATCGTCGCCAACGTAGAACGGATGTCTTCCGCGGAAAATCTCGGGACATGTTCGTTGATGTTTACAATTGAAGCAGACCCATAAAGAGACCCACAAGTGGCCAGTATGTCGGATCCGAATGCGCCAAGATGAGCTGACGATGTGGGAGGAGCGATCGACTCCGGCTGGCGGTTCGGCGATCCCATGAGAATCGGTAACGATCCGACTGGACCAGGATGGTTTGAAAACTCGGATTGATCAGGAGCCGTGGCAATACGATTCCCACTATCTGAAAATCTGGCCAGTAGATCTTGGTCTGGAGACATAGACCCTGTCAAGCGTAGACCTGGCAATCTCACAGGGATGGAGGCGATCCGGTCGGACCAAGATGTTTCAGGGACCTAGGCCGATCCAGAACTATGGGAGCATGCTCCCCGCGATCTGGCGATACGGAAGGCCGATCTCGATACGGAGATAGAGCCACAGTGGAACCATCCGAGGCGATCGG